ATATATTATATAATATATAATACGTGCGCCGACCTCACATTGTACGTGCATGCGCTTTAAAAAGGATAAAGGACGAAGAGAAATAGAGAACGACTCATTCTTTTTTCTTTTATCACAGTATTGCACGCAAAGCTTGTACGAAATCGCAAGTAAGACAGCATAAAGGCCAAATGGCAGACACTACACGCTTTCCTCTCAGAATACATCCGGGGAGGGTCGGAATTCTTTCGCAGAGTAGCGAAAAATGTTTCTATCCACTCCCTCATTTCTCTCTCACTTCTCATTCACTCATTCTCTCTCTCTCTCTCTCTCTCTCTCTCTCTCTGCCACTCTCATTCATACACATTTCAGCATTATTCTTTCACAATCCATGGCAACGACTCCAAACGACCCTTCACATCCATGGTCCATAATAGCTTCGACGTATATCCGACAAGTTAGTAACAAAATAATAATCCACACGTATACACGTATGTTTGAGTACATCACCTGAGAATAAATCGTGATATATCTCTTCGTTTCCTTCGTAATGTAAAATCCCTTCGGATTTTTTCCCCCCCCGTTTTCTTTCGCTCGACTACAATTTTTCCTTTCGTACGGTAGTGCCTTAACAATCTGTCGTTCAACGGAAAAATATAGCATACGGGCGGTATTACGCTGTCTTGTCTGGGTCGACGCAGATCGGATGGTTTTAACATCTTAATATATTAACATCCTAATGGAACGTTAATCTCTTTACGAAAGAAGCTTCGGAAGAAAGTCGCCCCTCTCCGGATAATTCTGTGACATCGCACAAAGAGGAGAATTTCTGTACTCCTCTCGATTCCGGTTAAAAAAAAAAAAAAAAAGAAAAAAGAAAAAAAAAGAGGGAAGAAGTTGAAAGCTGCAGAATCGTCGTCGTAGTCAAAATAAAGTGGATGAAGACGGAATTGCGAGCAATTTTCTTCTCTCTTCGTGTAGCTTCAGCTGCGACGCGAAGGTCCTAAGAAAAGAAAAGAGGGAAATAGTCCAGCTCCGTTTCCACCCCGGAGGGGCGACGAACACACGGCTTTGATTTGCCACTCCGGGACGAAGCTCTCGCCGATGCGATACGACCCGACAATCAGATATCACCGTACTTTACGCACGCGAAAAGGGGGAACTTTGGCAACAAACACACATTCGCATCGTTAAGGGTTTTTTTGCAGCTGGACAGCACAGCCTTTCACACGCACGCAAAAGATCCGCAATTCGCACAGTCATCTCCTAATTTCACTCGCTCTCTCATTTGTTATCTCACTAATAATAGCGGCATTAACTGTAATCTTAATTGGATAATTCTGCCGTAGCGTTGGTAATAATCATACAATGTTATATCATACAGCGTCGTATGTACAATATGGGAGGAGAATCGTTTCGTTATCGAGTAACAAATTGTACAGCGGCGCGGGATGTTCGGTCGATTTCCCTCGAGACCGTCAGGAATACTTTTGCTTCTCGCTCTGTGTCCCGTCTTAGAGAAGCAGCCAGCTGTGCGTAGCTATTTCCCGAGATAATCGCAACAATCGGCTGCTGATTCGCATTTTTATCGCGCGAGCGATTAACGACAATTGAATAGACGGAACCGGATAAACAGGCAAAGGGAGAAGATTAACTTTTGGTACACACGATAATTTTTCGATTCTTCATTACACGATGATTATTCGTGTCCGGATGTTAATTTTTATTAATTTAATAAATATCCATTTCTATTTTCTGTGCAGATAAACTTTAATTTCGAGTTAACTTCTTTATTCTTTTCTAATTCTTAAAATTAGAAAAAGATAGAGAGTAAGTTAAACAAAGATTAAAGTTAATCTACATTGAAATAGTATGTAATTACATACAAAAAGTATGTAATTCTTATATATTTTGACATCTTTAGAAAGTATTTGAAAAATTATAATATAATAATAAACATAAACTAATTGATGCTAGTTTTTCGAAGAGAAATATGCAGGACACAAACCTAATCGTGTGTACTAAAAGTTAAAGGGAATCTCTGCGAAACTGGGCTAGACTCGAGGCGTCTTTCGGAGCGAAGAACATGCGCTGAAACAAACTTCGCTATAATGAATAATGATGTAGATCGATGTGAAAGAAAATAAACATATTTATTTCTTCTCATAAACTTAAACTTCTTATAAACGAAAATAATGAAAGGGGTGGACAGGGAGACGTATAGGTATTCATAGTTTTAACATTGGTTAAAACATTTTTCGCTTTTTCTTTCCCTTTTTGTATTTTTTTTCTTTTCTCTTTGTTTCGTATTCGCTCGTCCTTCTCTCCTTTCTCATCATTTTTCTCGAGTTGCGTCTACTCGTCGTTAACCGCCTGATCTTGATCTCGCGTAATGCAGATCAAAGAGACAAAAGTCAGTCCCGGCCGGTCCACAACGAATTTCCGCGCGTTTTCATGTATGTATGTACGTCGAATGAAGAAAAAAAAGAAACATTAAGTAATTATATATACTCTACATGTGCGACATAGGTTGGCGTAGCTGCCACCCCACACTCGCTATGTACACTGTTAAATGGTCCTAATCTTCTTTTTCCTCCTTCTTTCCTTCTTTCGCTTAGTCCTGTTCCACAAGTACATTTGCACTAGTCTTCGCGAACTCTTTATCACTTAGCCATTTGAACCAGTCAACATGGCACAGGCTGAGACTGCATTCAGTTGCATTTTAAGGCGAATGGAGCACCTGACTCTGTTTCTTTTTTTTTGTTTTTGAATTAGTTTTTTTCGCGTGTGGAGTCGAAGTAGCTCGGAAAAAGAGAGAGTATTATTCGCGTGAGAGGCAACGACGAGCTGCTCAAGCGATTTTCAGTTAAAGTAACAACCGGTGTACCGCGAGATTATTCACAGCA